TAAAATGGGGTTTATTCGGTTGGTAAGTTGGTACAGATATCGCCTGAGTAGTCTATAACTAACTCAGCCCAGAACTTCTTCTACACTGTCTTTTGACATGCCACTAGTTAACGTCCTTGTTTGTGGACGAGTTCATCTTCAAGAGGGGTGGTAGGTTCCTACACAACACCTCCCCCTTGAGATTAATTCCGGAGGAATTAATATTTTTTTCTTTTGGGATCTGGACTTAAACGTTCCACCCTTGTTCTTTTTCTTAACATATACAACAGGGCAGGCCCACTCTGAAAATTCAATGCGTGAAATAACTCCTAAATTTTCAAGCCGTTCCAATTCCTTGTCAATCTGTTCCAAAACACCAAATGGCACATTTCTTTTTCGCTTGAAAATAGGTTTTACATTTTCCTTCACTTCAAATTTTGCCTTCGCCTTTTTGCAACATCCAAGACCTTCTGAAAATACTTGTGGAAATTTTATTTTCAGATCTTTCACAAAATTTTCTGTAACCCGATTTTTACACCGAGAAGAAACATTAACTCTATTGCAAAAAAGAATTTATAGGGAGTTCCATAAATTAAACAGTAAATCCAATCTGTTCCAAACACATCTGAAGCATTTTGTAGCATTATATACTTTAGACTTTAGTGTCTTACCAACAAATGAAATATTACAAGAAAATTCACCTTGAAAATGCAATTTTCTTCCAGAAATCCCAAAGCCACTTTTTTTTTCAGTCTTTTTAAGCAAAGGTCTGCCTATTTTAATCCATGTTGCTGTATTAATAATGGAAATATCACTTCCAGTATCTAGCTGTAGTTTAACATTTTTTCCATTAATTTTTTACTTGTAATTTTCTTTCTGCCCTCCTCAATCTCCTGACGTGACAACACAATATTCACAATATCTTTTTTCGACTTAATTTTTTTTTCTTTTACAATGAGTACTTATATGGCCTTTATTGCCACACGTATAGCAATTTTTGTCGCGAAAAAACATTCACTTTTAAAATGACCACCACCGCATCCAAAGCACGTTGGTTTTTTAACGTTTTTATTAACTATTCCCTTTTTTGGTCGAATAGCATGGACACGGGATACGTCTTTTTCTTCAATTTGCGTATTGTTATGTTTTAAATTTTCAATTCTTTGACACTCTTCCGTAACCTTCTGCAAAGTAATCTCGGAATTTTGTTCGAGTTTTGCCAATATTCGGGACCTTATGTCCTTATCTTTGCTAGAAGTCAAGCCTTGAACGAATATCAAACATTTAAATCGATCAATTGAAATATCATGTAACATAAAACGTTCACACATTCTGTTAACATTTCCAGCATACGTAACAATATCCTCATCGTCACGCTTTACCATATTCAAACACGAGAAACGAGTATGAAACAAACAAACTAACTCGCTCGCCAAAAATATTAGATAAAGTATTAACAGTTTCTTCGAAAGAAATGTCACTAGTTTTTCTTGGAAGGACAAAATTCGTATACTTATTATTTTCATCTGTACCCAACTTTTGTAAAAGTAAACTCACTTTTTGTTCATCAGTCCAACCTTCACATTTTTTTTTTTTTTTCAAATATTGTTTCAAATCTACTGAAATACGCAGGAAATGTTATACCCTCCTCTGGGTTAAATTTGAACTCGGTAATAGAATTAGCAATACCTTCGGCCGTGAATGACGAATTTACTGGATTCTTTAGTAACATTGCTTCAAATAAAGCCTTTGTGTCATTTCGCTGCTGAACTTGTAAATCCAATAGTTGTTCCAAAAACAATTTTGTTGCTCTTGTTTACAATCTTTGTTGTTTTGTTGCTGAATTTGGTTTTGCACTAGAGTTTTCGTTAATGCAATCAAATCTTCCATTATGCGTAATAGATTACACAAAACACTTTTCGAAAACAGTCAAAAAGGAGAAAAACACGTATATATCCAACAATAAGCACAAGTCTTACTTCACTTTGGCACGTTGAAATCCTATTTCTTCTTGAAGAACAAAGTTCGACGTATTGTTTTTTTTTCTTTCTTTCAGTGCGAGAAAAAAAAAAAATTATATAGTCCACCGAGAGTTGAAAAATTCTCCACTCAGCGTGATGAATAAATCTCTCGTCGCCACTGTTATGATATTAATTTGGGGTTAATAAAGACAAACGCTAAATAACATGTAACAATAAAATGGGGTTTATTCGGTTGGTAAGTTGGTACAGATATCGCCTGAGTAGTCTATAACTAACTCAGCCCAGAACTTCTTCTACACTGTCTTTTGACATGCCACTAGTTAACGTCCTTGTTTGTGGACGAGTTCATCTTCAAGAGGGGTGGTAGTTTCCTACACAACAGTAGCTTTATCGCCTTGCTTGAGATGAAACGATTAAAAAAATCAATTTAGAATTAACGATATTTTTTAAAGCCACTCGTTTATTTTCAACTGACCGTAAATGTGATTAAATCCTTAACAAAAAACTACTAACGTCTATGTGGCTTGAGTACCTCAACAAATGAATAAAAAAGAAAAAAAAGGTAGAATGAAACAAAATTAGTTATTTTATATTGTATTCGAGAATCAGCAAGCCGAGTTCGAATTCCGATCGAGTTTGGTACATTAACTTTTGCACAAATACTTTTGGGAAAAGGTATGACGCCATCTGTTCTCTCGCCAGATTTGGGTTAAAAATAACAAGGTAGACTGGACGGTCTAGCCATGATAGAGTGTAAATCTAGGAGAACAAAAGCTCTGAATTCAAAACCCATATGTGTCTCTTGTGGGGTACTTACTTGAACGGCAATTCAAAATCTCTCCGAAACGTTGCAGTGTAAACCACCGGTTGGCTGTGTCAGTGTTGAAGAAACACAGATCTTCACGTACGGAAACAAGTTGGTACTTACCTCATCTCTCCATTGAGACATCATGTGAAGCAAGGTCGAGTTTACTGCGGGACACCTGGGTAACGAGAAGCCATTATGAAGATTGAAACAGCTCGGATGATGATACTAGTTTAGTTATTTTTGAAAAGTCTTCTTTTCTATTAGACCTAGGGTATATATATATATATATATATATATATATATCGTGTCTAGATTTAGCAGTCATCAGCATCGCTTACCGAGAGTCCGGTCCGGGTTCGAATCTCGGTAGTGGATATGCACTAATGATGAGTCCCCCCCCAAAAGGACGAAACGGCCTTCCAGTGCTTTTCTACATTCTGTTGAGGTTTCAAGGTCTAGGCATGAGAATTATTATGAAAAATTATTCAAATCCCTCAAAATTATTATTCAGTCATATATATATATATATATATATATATATATAATAAAAAGGCTTAAACACTAATATTCCATGGTCATAATTTATTCCATTAGTATCGTAAATACGATCCAATTCATCAAACCTACAAATTCAAAAAGAAAACAGAAAAAAACAACTCCGGATGTGCAAATATGTAAAAAAATAGGAAAGAACTCGTTAGGTAAATAATCCGGAGTATTTTTGTTTTTATTTTTAAAAAACAGTGCTCGATACAAAAGTAGAGCCTAAATTATAATTATTTAAAAAAAAAATATGATTCCTTCGCTACATAAGAGTTCTCATGTTTCAAAAACAAGAGCTGAAAACTTCAATATAATTATTAGAATTAAACTGAATTAAAGCATCAAACTCAAGATTTTCGCATGAAGATGAAACAGAACTTGATGCTTTAATTCTGAAATATAAATAATTACAAACAACTGGACGAAACAGCAAAGCGGGATCTCTTTGTGGCTGTCTTTAACTTTAAAATATTTTAATTAAAAAAATTGTTTGTTTGAAGAAAGTTAAAATAAAAATACTTACTGTATAATCAACTCATAAATCCTTGTATGTCGGACAGACGCACCACACAAGCATGCACACAATCACAGACTTTTAGTATTATATAGATAAACATTAATGAATTTATTGAAAATTTAAAATAAATTTAAAAAAATTCAAATATAGCTACCCTTTGGCATTACATATTGATATTTGTGGATTACTTGGAAAATTTTTGGACTACTGTTCATTTTTCGTGCTAGTCTAAATAAAAACAATTTCGTGACATTCCACCATCACCGATGAGGCTCAAAACATTCACCAATAGCGAAGAATGGATGTTCCCTCAGGCAGGCCCCGTGTCTTGAGCGCCTATTTGGACCAAAATTCAACCCAGACCTCAAGTGAAACACGTATATACAATTACTGGCTAAAGATGCTGGAAAAATGATCGGTTCCTTGTACCTGATTCCTCCTGCTATTCATTACGAGCCAGATCAGTATTTTTGCCATATATGGACAGAAGCTACTCAATCTTCACTTTCCCGTCTCGATAGAGTTCAAAAGCGTCTTCGCGTCAGTGTGGGTGACGAAGCCGCTCGCTGCCCTATTGCTATTTCAACGGAAAGGGCTCAAACGAACTGCATTCCTTAGTTCCACCAGTTCTAAACTTCACGGTTAAGACTCGCCATGCCACGCAAATTCTAGCGAACCTCACTTGTATTTCCTTTGTATTCCATTGTTGAGGTGTAAGTTCCACAAGTGCAGCTTCTTTCCACACACGGCTGCTTTGTGGAACCACCTCCCTAAAAGATGATTCCCCGATCACTAAAATCCTAACCTGGATAATTCTAGAGTTATTTCCCACACATATCCGCATAGATTGTGTCTTACTCTGTAACCCTCTACCTCGAGTCGCTCTTGGGCCTTCTACAGAGTAAACATATTTGTATAAATGTTCTTATAAGATTTACCAACCTTTTGCAGGTTATTTAAAGATAGAAAATATTTTGGGACTGTAAGAATCTTTTGCAGATAATAACGATCTGCTAATACATATCTTACTATTTATCCCATAGCTAGAGGGGAGAAGATGTGTATTCATATCTTTTCCAAGGTAAGTGAATATAACAGGACAGGAATTGGATCTCGGCTTTCCGATTTCCAGTTGTCGACCGATAAGCATTACGCCACCCACGCATCCAAGATTACGGCACCTGGTATTCCCAAGCGGTCGCCCATGTAGGTACCGACCAGTCTCGACGTTGCTTAACCTCGGTGATCGGACAAGAACCAGTGTTTCAACATGATATGGCTATAAACCTTACAAAGTTTAGAATGTGACGTAAAGCACTGAAGCTTTTGTCTTGAAGTGGGGCTTTAGATTCGTGATGCATGTAAGAAGAACGCCGGATACTGGACTCTCCTCACAGCTTCATCCCTTTTCGTGTACTGAACTAAGGTAGGTGAGCCCATAGACTCCTTCCGTCAATTTTGCGATACAAAGACTAAGTTCAATCTTCGAAAAACCGGAAAATACCCCCAATCCTGCGGAAAAAAAAAACAGGCTTACTTGACGACAAACTTCCACGGAAGCCTTGCAAACATTTAAGGCGAAGACTGAGTAGGAAATACGTCAATGAGAATAAATCCAACGACGGATTTCACGAACCCTCGACTGTTTGTGCTGTGACCGCAAGTTTCACGAAAAGAGCAAACTGCCGAGTCATGAGAGAAGCCTTAAAAGCTGAGGAAGGAAAAAAAAATGGATTCTCAGGACGTGAAGAAAGAGTCAGCAATAAGAACGACAACGACAAGTGCAAAGAATGACCTCATATTTACTGAGGATTTAATTATATTCCTGAAAGTGTTGCGAGGCCGAAGACAATTGTCTTTTCCTTTGTTGGTTTTTAGAGATGCCATCTTTATACTCAAGTTTTTATTGTTTTTTTTTTTTTTCACCCACAAAGTTTCAATCGGTTTGCTTATCAAGCCATTAAGTAACCCGAGTACTGATCTAAATCATAAGTTGGTTATAAAATCAATTCAATTTCACATATGAGAAGGTGCTGAGAAATTCTCGACCAGACCAGGAAGTGATTCCAAAGAAAGTAGATATTTTAAATTTGGGGGAGTGGGTCAGCCAGAGAACTTTTCAGCATCAATTATTTCTTCTTCTTCTTCTTCTTCTGCTGCTGCTGCTGCTTTTTCTTTTTCTTTTCTGTCTTCTTCTTATTTTTAGTCCTATTTTTCTTCTTCATATTCCCTTCTTTTTCTTCTTATTTTTCGTATTCTTCTCATTAGTATTCTCCATCTTCTTCTCTTTCTTCTTCATACGCTTCTTCTTCCTATAGTTATTTTTCTTCTACTTCTTCATATTTTTCTTTATACTAGTCTACTTCTCATTCTTCTTCTCTTTCTCTCTATTATTATTCATCTTCTTCTTTTTCTTCTTCTTTTTCTTCTTCTCCTTCTTCTTCTTCTTCTTATGCTGCTGCTGCTGCTTTTTCTTTTTCTTCTCTGACTTCTTATTCTTATTACTATTTTTCTTCGTCATATTCTCTTCTTCTTCTTCCTCTTCTTCTTCTTCTATTTCCTCTTCTTCTTGTTCTCTTTGTTCTTCTTCATCTATTTGTTGTTCCTCTTTTTCTTCTTCTATTTCTTGTTTTTCTTCTTCTTCTTGTTCTTTTATTTGTTGTTGCTATTGTTGTTCTATTCTTTTTCTTCTTCTTCTTCTTCTTCTTCTCTTTGTTCTTCTTCATCTATTTGTTGTTCCTCTTTTTCTTCTTCTATTTCTTGTTTTTCTTCTTCTTCTTGTTCTTTTATTTGTTGTTGCTATTGTTGTTCTATTCTTTTTCTTTTTCTTCTTCTTCTCTTTGTTCTTCTTCATCTATTTGTTGTTCCTCTTTTTCTTCTTCTATTTCTTCTTCTTCTTCTATTTCTTGCTTTTCTTCTTCTTCTTCTTCTTCTTTTATTTGTTCTTTTATTTGTTGTTGCTATTGTTGTTCTATTCTTCTTCTTCTTCTTCTTCTTCTTCTTCTTCACCTCCTCTGCCTCCTTCCTCTTTGTGCCGCGTATCTTCAGGACATAGGAGATCATGGCTCTCCACAACTTTCGATCTCGTGCGGCTCTTTGCTAAGACCCCCACCCCCATTTTCCGTCATCCATTCATACGACCTCATCCTCATCAGGTAAGCGGTTAACTGCTTTTCCCTATTTCTCTTGCTCTCAATAGGGCCCATGATAAAATCCAAAGAAGAATCAGCTATATTATCAGTCCTGATCTGGCACCTCAGCTTCAGTCACTTTTCCCACCGCTGTAAGGTTGCCTCTCCGTGTCTTTTCTACAAATACTTTCATGGTAAGTGTTCGGAGAGATCTCATCAATTGACAAGTTGAGCTGCCTATATATATATAGCCGTAGGTTCTATGCTAACATTTTTTTTTACTCGCACTTCTCGCTTGTGGAAATCCCTTCCGGCTCCATGCTTTCCAGCTGACTTTAATCTGTAAAAAATTTAAATGCAATGTCAATCGCTATCTACTATCCTCCTGGTTACTCTTTTCTCTTCCCACTCATTATTAATGTTTCTGTTCCTAATTCTTCCACACCCAGTAACCCCTTGTGTTTTAGTGACTTTAATGTCTTGCATGGGGTGATACCAATTACAAATAATAAAAAAAAAAAAGATCATTGTATCGTTTCTTGAATCCTAATTCCCGGGGTATTGATTAGAATAAAGTTCCGATCATTTTTCCATTTTTTATTGCAAACTTGGCATTTATCTCAATGTAAACATTCTTCTCGAATAGGTGAAGTTTGGGATGCTTAATGTTTTTGTTTATTGAGTTCACCATCGCTTTACTGTTATATATATATATATATATATATATATATATATATATATATATATATAATGGACTCTCCTGTCGGTTTCGACGTATGAGAATCTGCCAGCTTATTGATTCAGTTATGAAAGTTTATGCACTAATCTTAAGTGATATTTTAAGACCCACTAGTGATTTACAAAGGAGGTCGCATATGGAGCAAGTGCGATGATCGTGAGATGAGATCACTGTTAGATTGGTTGACCTTTTAGATCTTGCTCTCGCTTCTTGAAGATGATTCAGACAAGCAGACTGAAAATTGCTGAGTCCACTGAAACACGTTGATCTCCATTCTACCCGCTCCAAGGCTAAGCGCTCAAGTGTGTTATGTGGTATATTAACTGCTGACAAGTTGCTTTTCAGCTTGTCTTTGTATCTTAGCCATGGGCGTCCTACATTCCTGTAGCCCTGATTTAACTGGCTGTACATTAAGATCTTGGGTATCCTGTCATCAGACATTCTCAAGACATGATCAGTCCACCGTAACTGAGACTGTATGATAAAAGTCTCGATTCCTCCAATATATATATATATATATATATATATATATATATATATATATATATATATATATATATATATATATATATCGTCGAAGGTTTGTTGTTTATAAACAATAATTGGACTAACAGACGCTTTCTCGTATCGAGTCGTATAGCAGATCAATTGCCAGTTCCGTATAGGACACAGGTTCGATTCCTGACGGAGAACACATATTTTCTACAAAATTTCTCGAACATTCAGGCCGGTAAATGTAATTAATACTGTTTATTTAAAAAAACAGCATTTACTTAAATAAATTGTATCCGTTAAAAATAACGTATAAACAGAAAATATATCAAATAATTGTCGGACTTAATCCATTTCATATATATATATATATATATATATATATATATATATATATATATATATATATATATATATATATAAGGGGTATTCTTAGCGTTTAAGGAGAGAAATATTACAATAAAATAACGAAAACGAAGTGAATTGGACCAAAAGAATAACAAATTCTTCAGTGGATCAGAATCTGGTAACGGGAAACAGCTACTTGACCCCGTTTAATACGGGGTCTACGGAGAATTTTTGGCCGAGCCTACGGGCTCGGACACACCACATTAAATTCGGCCGTGTTCCACCTCTGACCGCGTAGGGCGGTTGGTAGATATCCTGCAATTGGAGATTCATTGTGGAAATCACTTCACTCCCTTCTAGCAGTTGACTACTACTTCTACGCGCCGCTGGCGAATCTTATATGTGTTGTTCATGTTCTAAGTATTATCGTTCATTACCAACATTCGTGTGATTACTCTATTCAGTAACCTTCCCTAAGCTACAACAATAATTATCTATTCCTACTAATTAATCCTTAGCTGGGAGAAGAACAGGTATATTCATATTTTCCTGAATGAATTTGCCCTGAAGTGAACCCGACTGAAATTGGAATTCCAATTCAGAGCCATTATCCATTACACCACACGCACTTCTTAACTTACAACAGTCACCCATCTATATAATAACCAGGATCGACGTTGCTTAACTTCGTGATCGTACGAGAACCGTTGTTTCAACGTGATATGGCCGATATGCATTAAACCACCCGCACATTCAATCTGGTATTCTGAAGCGGTTACCCATCTATGTACTGACCAGGCTCGACGTTGCTTAACTTCGGTGATCGTACAGAAACCTGTGTTTTTAAATGAAATGGCCGTGAGGTATGCATGTTCACGACTAACTGAACTTTAATTAGCAAGTCCCATATAGTTTATTAGAACATTTACCTGCTTCGTATAAAATGAGTTCATTTTCATTGAATATACAGGTTGATTGAAAAGTGATTTCCTATTTTATGAATGAGTGGCCAGCCAAGAGTCCTGACTTAACACCTTGTGACTTTTTTCTTTGGGGTTGGTTAAAAGAAACAAGTCTACACAACCAAACTAAGACTTTGGAAGAACTTGAAGGGAGAATACAAGAAGTTATGTCTTCCTTACCACAAGAGTTTCTTGTGAAATCAATTGACGCGATTCCTGGGTGGTTTGAGAAGCTGTTAGCGAAATCTGGTGCCCATATGGAGTTTTAAATAAAACCTCATGGTAAATGCTTTCCTCTCATATCAATTTCTTGTAAAAATTATAGTTAATAAATAAATTATAAGTATTTCATAATGTTGAGTTACTTTTCAATCTCCCTGTATATCAAAAATGGATATTTAGACGTGTAAGCTGTCGTTCTAAATATTAATTGATAAGTAAATTTATCTTTCAAAACTTTTTCTTCTTCACCTGGTGTTTAAGAACTCTCTGTTAAAAGTATTTTACATGAGTAATTAAAATTGTAAAGAATTAATAAGTAATTTATTTCTAATGTCAATCTTGACGGCGAGTAATCCATTGCTAAGGATGCAGGTGAAATGGGCGGTTCTCTATACGACTCTAGTAAGCACTTGACTCCTCCTGATATACTCTACCTTTACAGGAGCCAGATCAGGCCTAAAATGAAGTACTGTTGTCATATTTGGATAGGAGCTGTCCAGACATCACTTTCCAGTCTTGATAGAGTCTCAAAGCGTGACCGAACCCCCGTGGGTGGCGAATGATTCTGCATCCTCCAACCTCTCTCCCGCATGCGGGATGTGACAAGCCTCTCGCTTCTCTGTCGCTACATTCCCTGGTCCCGCCAATTCAAACGTTCACGGCAAGGACACGCCATGCCACTTACATAGTATCAAATCACCCACATTCCCTCCGTATTCCGTCGGTGAAAAGTAAGTTCCACTCGAACAGCTTCTTACCACGAACCACTGCTCTGTAGAACCGAATCCCAACAGGATGTTTCCACTACAATCTTAACCTATTCAAGGCTAGGGTTAACTGTTATCTTCCACTCCTATACGCGCAAATTGCCTCCGAACGTAACCTTCTACATTGAGTGGGACCCGGACCTTATAAAGGGTGAACCTTACTGCAAAAAAAACAAAAAAACAAAACAAAACAAACAAAACAAAACAAAAACAAACAAAAAACAAAACGTTACTTACGTTCATAATTTAATCTAAAAATCGGTTTCATAAATACTCCATGGAATTTCCCCATATATATCTAGTTATTATTAGTTATAATTATTATTAGTAATTATTATTAGTTATTATTATTACTTATTATTATTACTTATTATTGTTATAAGTATCATTAGTTATCATTATTATTAGAAATTATTATTAGTTATTATAATTATTATTATTATTATTATTATTATTATTATTATTATTAGTAATTTTAATTATTATTATTATTAGTTATTATTGATAATTATTATTGTTATTAGTTATTATTAGTTATTATCATTATTACATATTATTTGTTATTATTAATATTAATTATTGTTACTTATTATTAGTTATTATTAATACTTATTATCATTAGGTATCATTATTAGTAATTATTATTAGTTATTATTATTAGTTATTATTTATTACTTATTATTATTATTGTTATTATTATTAGTTATTACTATTAGTAGTAATTATTATTAGTTATTATTATTACTTATTATTATTACTTATTATTATTAGTAATGTTTTATTATTATTAGTTATTATTATTATTACTTATTATTATTAGTTATTATTGTTATTAAGTTATTAGTTATTATTATTATTACTTATTATTAATATTATTTTTAGTTATTATTACTTACTATTAGTATTAGTTATTATTAGTTATTATTATTACTTATTATTATCGTTAGTTACTATTATTAGATATTATCATTATTTGTTATTATTATTAGTTATTGTTATTGAATGAAAGAACAGCACTCAATATATCCATCATGGCATTTAATCTAATAAGGGTATATCAGGTACATGCATCACAGCCAAATATGCGTGATATGGCGTCAGTCATTTTTTTTTTAAGTAGTGCATAACCTTCCAGGTTCGAAATACTCCCAGTCCCCTCAGACGGTGTCATATTGGGGTTTGTTCCCATCTAAATGTGACTTTCTAAACGACTCATCTTCCAAACAACCCTCGAACTACCTGGCCATGACACAGAAAGCAAAAGAAAGTTTTTGACTAATTTTCGAAAAGAGAAATTAAAAAAATGAAATATGAAAATGAAATGTTTCCAATGCTTGATAATCTCATCTTTTGTTCGCATTGATGACGAGTGGGGTGGGGTTGTTTGGGTTGTTGACACGATTCAAAACTTGATCCGTCCAAAGCATACTTAAAGGTGTCCGCCTAAGCAATTTATGACAAAAGAAGTGACGTTATTGGCAGCAAGACCGCTAAAGGAGTTGTCGAAGGCAAGTGGATTGATATGACGTCAACAGTTCTTGAGTTTTACGTAGTCGGAGAAGAGTGGGACACAAAAGAAAGAAAGAAAAGAAGATCAAGGAAGGCGACTGGAGAAAGAAAGAAAAAGAAAGAAAAAAGGGCGAAGAAAATTTGGGAAGAATTAATAGATCAAAAAAAGGAAAAATCGCTTTCCAGCCAGGATTTTAAGTGATTTGACAGCAAGGGTGGATCAATAAATTCGTAGCCCGACGCGTAGTTAGCTGAATTCTGATATCGAGATTTTACATAATGTTCGATCTATGGGATTAATATTGCCCGCCGAATTAAGTGCATTGACAAGGAAGGAGATATTATTGAAAACTATTCTGGTCAGTATGCTCATCTTTGTTGTTCTGCTCAAAAAGTTTCTGCCGTTATGACGTCCGGCCTTCTTCAGGAGTCTCACCCGTCCATTCCGAAGTATGTAGGCATAAATAAAAGTTAATTTCTTTTCTTTTTTTTTTTGAAACTGGGCAACCAGACCACCCAGCAGTATTATTTGATTATAGAGGTGAAGGCTTATGTAGAAGCAGACAAACCTTTCGAAAAAATCTGATGACGGAGAATTTGTGAGCAATTTAGTACTTACTTATTATTATTAGTAATGTTTTATTATTATTAGTTATTATTATTATTACTTATTATTATTAGTTATTATTGTTATTAAATTATTAGTTAGTTCGTCAGTCATGTATCGAAAGATACATGATCGCCTAAGCGTGTATCCCGCATGGCACATAACTGACTATGGGTAAATAGCAGGACAGACCGGGTTCTGCTATCTCTCTCAATCTCCCTCTCTCTTTTTCTCTCTCTTTCTATATCTATATATATCTGTGGGGAGGTTGTGTGCGTAATTAGGATTAATTAATTTGTTTTTTTTTACTCCTTATCAAGCCTTTTCAGGTTATTTAATGCCAGAAAATATTTTTTTAGATTGCAAGAATGTTTGGAAGATAATAATGATTTTGGCTGATACAAGTCTTATTAAAAGGATTGGGTAAAAGAGGTGGATTTATACTTTTCCTAAGGGTATTTAAGCCTAAGTGGATAGAGAGAAGTTGACTGGAATTAGAACTCTGTTCGCCGATTTCCAATTCCGAGACGTCATCTATTACACCACCCGCACACCCAAGTTTACAGCACCTAGTATCCCCAAGCGGTCACCCATCCAGGTACTATCCAGTCTCGACGTTACTTAACTTCGGTAATCGTACGAGAACCGTTGTTGCAACGTGATATGGGCCGTAGGCGTGTGTAATTTGGAAGTAATAAGTCAGCTAAGTAAGTTTTATTAAATTCTACGGACAATTTTTTTGACAAGTTGTTGCACCTCCGAATCAGAATTGTGAATAACCTGTTCAATGTTCTTGGTAATGACAGAGACCTTTGAAAGTACCCCCCCCCAATGTTTATCATGATGTGCAACAAGTCTTTCGAAAACTGGAAAAGTACAGTAAAAATTAAAAATTCACGTTGGATAGCGACTCGGATTGAGGAGTCGGAGAGCCGAGTTCGAATTCCACTCGAATCCATTGCATTCATTTATGTGCTAATTCCCTTGGGAAAAGTATGATTCCTCTCCCAAGCTATGGGTAAATAACAGGATAGACCGGGTTCTATAGCCTTGGATGGCAACTGGTCTACCGCAGAAAGAAATAACAACCTACTGCGGGAAAAAATCTGCCTCGTCAGTCATGTATCGAAAGATACATGATCGCCTAAGCGTGTATCACGCATGGCACATAACTGACTGACTATGGGTAAATAGCAGGGCAGACCGGGTTCTATAGCCTTGGATGGCAACTGGTCTACCGCAGAAAGAAATAGCAACCTACAGCGGGAAAAAATCTGCCTCGTCAGTCATGTATCGAAAGATACATGATCGCCTAAGCGTGTATCACACATGCCACATATCTGACAATGTCTAAATAGCAGGACAGACCGGGTTCTATATCCTTGGATGGCAACTGGTCTACCGCAGAAAGAAATAGCAACTTACAGCGGGAAAAAATCTGCCTCGTCAGTCATGTATCGAAAGATACATGATCGCCTAAGCGTGTATCCCGCATGGCACATAACTGAGTTTTTATATATATTTATTACTTCAAACGTTATTATAATGGATACTTGAAATGGACGCCAAATTTTTAATTATTTATTGTCTATTTGAGAAATCTTAGTGAAGAAAAATGCATTGCCCGATAGGGATCGTACTTTTTGTCCCACTTTATTTGTAGGGGGTAACCGGCGTTTGATACAGCGGGCTTTAGCGTTCTGTCACGGAGAACGACGCAGTAAGGTTATATTTCCCCCCTTAAAAAAAAGGGCGTCTGTTTCAAATACTGCGCATGGACTATTGCGATTCACTCAGCGTAGCATAGATGTCGCACAAGGCCGAAAGTATAGAGTACTCAGTAAGGATCGAAATCATTACTCAGTCGTGACTGATCTAGCAAGTCTAGCGTGTTGACTATTACACCGACGAAATGCCCACCATGTATCCGCTACCATAATAATATTTGAAATTTTATATATATATATATATATATATATATATATATATATATATATATATATATATATATATATATGTGTGTGTGTGTGTGTGTGTGTGTGTGTGTCCGTGTGTAAAGCTAGGGCAGAGATAGTAAAAGAGAAAAATAAATAGGATGAAAAGAAGGATAGTTAGAAGGAAATCCCGATAGGAGAAAGAAAGAAAAAAGAAAGAAAGAAAACATAGATAGACCGAGGGACAAACAGACAAAAAGATAGATTTATCTATAGAGAGAGATCGTTATATATATATATATATATATATATATAGAGAGAGAGAGAGAGAGAGAGGCGATAAATAGAAAGAAAGTGGAGGAGTGATAAAGAGAAAGAGAGATAGATAGATAGATAGATAGATAGAGAGAGAGAGAGAGAGAGAGAGAGAGAGTAGAGAGAGTAGAGTAGAGAGAAGCGATAGCATGAGAGAAGCCATTAAAGTAAATGCCTGCTTATTCAAAGTTGTCCGCCATTGCCTCTAACGTTCAGATCGACTTCCGTTTCGCCTGCATTTTGCAATTCACCGCCCCGGTCATACAAATAAATAAATAAATAAAATGAAAAAAGTCGTTCATCTCGTAACCTTCAGACTAGTTTTGTCTTTCTTTTCATCTTTCCTTCAATACTTTCTCTTTCTTCTGTTCTATTTTGGCGCGCTCTTTGCTTTCTTTCTCGTCGGATTTTTAGCTGTTGTGATTTCTCTCTTGTTCGCCATCATTTTTATCTTCTATCCGCTATTTTCTAACTCTTTTTTTTTTCTTTTATTCTTCCTTCTTTTTCCCCTGGTTTCACTCATTCTCCCTCTCTCTGTCTCTTTCTCTTTCTCTCTCTGTTTTTGGACATTGCTTTTTTTCTTCTTCTTGTGACCGCCATCTTGCTGGAAAATACGTCAAACCTGGCGCAAACAATGCGAACTAAAATAAACATATTAATATTTGACGGTTGACGTAGATAGGAACGTTAAAAGGGCTGAGTAGCGAAATCATTGAACACACAAACAACATCAACAAAAACAACGATGATAATAATAATAATAATAATAGTTACACTTGTCATAACAAGGGCAAGGACACAAGCAACAAAACATACAGACATGCCGAAGTAAAAACTATGGAATATCGAGAAAAGACTGAAGCAAATACATGCTCGGAAAGGGGCAGTAGAATTGTCTTAACTCAAAGCTACATAGATAATTGAGGAGCATGACTAATTTAAACAGAATTATTTAGGGATCATAGCATTGCAGCGATCAGAATCGATATCAATGACTTGTGAGAACAGTATGCAAACTTTGACATTATCATGAGTGTTATTAACATAGTTTAGTCTGCTTCTCTCATTTCTATGTGCCATATACTTCAGGAATCCGGCGTTCATGGCTCTCCACATTTCACTGTCCTTTGCATGTCTTAATAAATTCCCTTATTTTTTTTATCTCTCCTAAAACCTGTTCCGTATCCATTTACACATGTTCACTTGGTAGGTTATGCGTTTTTTTTTACTCTGTAAAATCCGAAGACGGAGATATGCAATGTGATCAGTCCTGACTTTGGGTCTCGACTTCAGTCACTTTCTCACCAGTGTAATGTAGCTTTCCTTCTGTCTTTTCTATTTATATTTTCATGTCGTCTGCTCTGACGAGCTATTTTCATTGGTGCCCCGACTGCATGAATTTAAGCGTGCTACTAGTTTGGCATCTCGCCCCCACCCTTTTACTGTTGAAACAGTTAAATGTAACCGCCTCTTCTACTCCAACAGCGGCTTCTCACACACTTCCCGACAGTGGAACTCCCTTCCTCTTACTTGCTTCCCTGATAACTATAATCTTAAAAAATTTAAATGTAATGTCAATCGACATCTTCTGTTGCCTTGATCTCCATTCGTCTTTATGTCCTCTTCCTTTTTTCTTTTTATCCTTTCCTCACCTCCCTATACCCAGTCTTTTCCCTTACTTATACTCCCCCCCCAAAGACTTCAATACGTCATGTGAGTATCCCATTTTCTAAGACCCTATTCTGCCATCCATTTACTCACTAAATATGTTATGCGTTGTTTTCCTCTGTCCCTCTTGCCTTCAGTTTGTCCTGTGAGTATCACATTTTCCAAGCTTTCTTTCCTCGTTATGTGCCCTAGAAATTTCAGTTGTCTCTTCCTGATGTTAAATATAAGTTTTCTTTTTGTTTCCATTTTCTCTAAAACTTTGGCATTGCTCTCATATTTGCTCCATAGTATTCTCAGCATCCTTCTGTAGAACCACATTTCTGTTGCTTCGAGTGTCTTCTTCATCTACGAGGCGACGATCCAGCATTCACTGCTATATAGGAGGACTGATATTACACAACAGTTCAGTACTCTTTCCTTTCATTCTAATGAATTTTTCCTGTTTCTTAATACTTGACTTAGATTTTTGATGGCATCTTTGACTGTCCCAATGCGTCTTTAGATTTCGTTGTTACACTTTTCGTCTTTTGTTAAAATATTACCCAAATGTTTAAATTGTTTTACTTACAGCACCTAGTATTCTTCAATTCACGAAACGAATTTATTGATTTGATGAATCTTCTATAAAACCATGCCGGAAAAGTTATGATAGCCGAAATATGAAATCAGTTGCCAAGATTCTGAATGTTATTGTTATCAGCTTAGCAGGTCATTTTTCGGTTTTAAGTGATAAGCTTAAATTGAAGGTTATCTGAGTGGGCCACCATATATGCTATGTTATTTGAGCGAGGAGCCAACTTATAATATTCTGCACTAGAGTTCAGAATAAATGTAATTTTCAAAACTCCATTAGAGTTTAAAGGTTTAGAGGTTAGTCGAAAGCGAGCTTTTAGTTAAGTATTTTAAATTTTTGATGCTATCTATCTATCTCATTTATCTATCTATCTATCTATCTATCTATCTATCTCAGTCTTTTCATTATTCTATTCATTTCATTTATCTATCTATCTATCTATCTCATCTATCTATTTCATCTATCTATCTATCTATCATCTATCTATTTTTAATCTGTTCATCTATCTATCTATCTATCTATTTTAATCTGTTCCCATTCATCTATCTATCTATCTATTTTAATCTGTTCCATTTCATCTATTCATCTATCTATCTAATTTATCTGTTCCTATCTATTCATCTATCTATCATTTTAATTTTTTCCTATCTATCTGTTCATCTATCTATTTTAATCCATCTATCTATCTATTATCTGTTAATCTATTCTATCTATCTATTATCATCTATCTATCTATCTATCATCTATCTATCTATCTATCTTTTTAATCTGTTCCTATCCATCTATCTATCTATCTATCTATGTTAATCTATTCTATCTATCTATCTGATCTTCTATCTATCTGTTTTATCATCTATCTATCTTTCTCTGTTCCCATTCTATCTATCTATCTATTTTTTCTATCCATCTATTCATTTAATTTCAATCATTCATCTATCTATCTATCTATCTATTCATTCATCTATCTATTCATCTAATTTAATCTGTTCCTATCTATCTATCTATCTATCTATCTATCTATCTATCTATCTATCTATCTATCTATCTATCTATCTATTGAATTTGAAACGTCATAAATTATACTAACGATCGTTTAACAAGTCAAATACACGTGAAACAAGAGTAACGAACGAAAATCAAACATAAAAGTAAAAATACGAAAATATCTTTCTTCTTTTTCGCCATATTTCTTTCTTTGATAAAATGTTAATAAAAGTGAAACGTGTTAGATTGATAAACGTTTCTTGTTCTTTATTCTATCATTCTGTCGGATTACGATTCATATCTGATCTGCATTTGCTCCCAACTTTATCTATCTATCTATCTATCTATCTATCTATCTATCTATCTATCTATCTATCTATTCATTATGTATTTATCACAGTCTCTTCATTATCTATCTATCGACTTCAGTCTGTTCCATTCATCTATCTATCTATCTATCATTAATATCTATCTATCTATCTATCTATCTATCTATTTTTATAAATCCTATTCATATCTATCTATTTTTTAATCTGTTCCATTATCATCTATCTATCTATCTATTTTATTCTATCTATCTATCTATCTATCTATCTATCTATCTATCTATCTATCAGTTGCATTCATTATATGCAAATATCCTTGAGGAAGGAATGGACCCGCCTCTTCTCCCCTCCAGCTATGAGTTAATTAAGAAAATTCCTACTACTGAATCATTATTATCCGAATAAAATCTTAAAATCTAAAATATTTTCTGGCTTTAAATAACTTGGAAAGGGTTGATAAGCCGTAAAAAAAAACAAATCAATCAATCAATTCCTCAATCAATCGTTGTCAAAACAGTATAATTAAAAATTGTTCACAAGGAAATATAATAATCAATACATGTGCAAACATATTCAAATTTTTCAGCCATTTTGACGATACGGATAGAGAATAATTGACAATGCTATATTTAAGAACTAGAAAAGCATTCTTCTCCACACGCTTCTGAATAAATAAATAAGATGACGCCATATCGGACGAAACGGAGAACATATAATTGCTATGTGGTTAGATTTAAATAGCTAGAACCGGTGTTTATTGTAGTTTACGCGATAAAACAGATGTCGCGTTGACCGGCTTTCCAAGGAAAGGGTTTTTGAAACGGAACCTCACCAGAAACTTATTCTTTATTTGCGATAAGCGTGGCTTATCGACGATCGTAGAATAAGTCTGAACGATTCGATAAAAAGCAAGTGAATTTCAAAATGAAAGAAGAATTAGCAAATAATTTTTTTTACGCCTCCCTAACAAAGGATGAGTCTAAAACGCAAATTACAAACCGGAGATACCAAGATCAAACAAGTACAAAAATTTAAATATCTGGGAAGTATTTTAACAGAGGGTGGAAAGTGCGACACTGACACCCGAAGACGAATTGGGATAGACGCTTTTGGACTCTATGAAGGCTGGAAAATGAAGGCTGTTTTGCCTCAACCCATATATGGCAACAGTACTCCAATTTTCGACCTGGTCTGTCTCTTGGAACGGTAGAGGATGGCAGGATGGGTCAAGTACTTACTGGACCAATACAGGGGACCGACTAATTTTCCCAGCATCTTTAGCGATGGATCGTATTGCTATTTTTAAACCAGCTCCCTCCCCCAGAAAGGAGATGAACTACTTGGGGAAAGGCACCGCCCTACTTTGCTTGGGGTAAAATGCTTTCAAAAAATCGGGGAAGAATTCTATTGGGAGCCAGTTCTACGATGTAAGAAGCTGCTTGTGTGGAACTTACATCTCACCAATGGAATACGAAAGGAATGAGGGTGATTCGCTGTAATGTCCCTGATCCGACGTGTCTTAGCCGTGAAGACTAACGTCCCTCTCCCACCAGTCGCTAACCCTGACCATTCTCATTAACAAGGCGTCTACCAGAGGAGGACTGACATTGAAAAAAAATTTAAGACTGTTATGGTCCGGTTCCTTGTACCCCGGGTGATAGTCCAAGGTAGAACCAATAAAGAAGAACTCGAAGGTGGATATGGAATAACACTGATATATTACGAACAGGAATATATACAGAGAGGTAGAAAAGTGTTAGTACGAACAATCAGGTTTAGTAGTAATTGTCTGAACGCGAGTCTGTTCCGGACTGCCTCTGACTCGACTGACTGACTCGCTCGCTCTGACTGACTGACAGACTTCTGACGGACTTCACTCCAGACTTCAGATTGAACTCCCTGCTTCCTCTTGAGGCGGAGTATTTATTACATATGGAATAGTCCATTATGTTCTTATGGGTAAGGTCCCATAACAAAAGCAATACTCCGATACAGACATTTAGGGGCCGATGATAGAACTAAGAACTAAGTAATTTCCCTGGAAATAGCGATAGAGAAGCGGGTGGATTGTGACATTTCGTCTGTGGGAAAGGAGTTTTAAGGGAGAAAATACTTCGTCACCCACAGGGACACGGAGATGCTTTTGGAATTTATCGAAACCGGAAAGTGTCCATATATGGCAGCAGTACTCCATTTTTGGTCTGATCTGGCTCTTGTAAAAGTATAGGATAGTCAGGTACTTTCTGGAGAGGTACAGTGCTGTTCGATTAAAGTGACTCACCTGATTTTTTTTTTTACTAAATGTTCTCTTCTCCAATGAAACGAAAGTTGAACTAAATTCAAAGGATAATCGATCTAAAATCCGAAGAAGTTTTGAAAGCTCTTTGAATTTAGCAGTAAGTACTGTCAAGCATCCGTTCAGTATAATGTTCTGGGGATGCTTTTCTTTTCATGGGACTGCTTTCTTAAAATCTATTGAAAATTACAAGAGAATTTTAGAGTCTTATCTGCTCCCTTCTGCTGAAAGGGTGCAAATCGACCCCGCCAAGCTCATTTTAATGCAGGATAATGCTCCCTGCCACAAATCAGAATTGATGAAGGAATACTTTGATGAGAAGCAGGTGAGTGTTATGACATGGCCGCCCCAATCTCCTGACCTCAACCCCATAGAAAACTTATGGAGCATTATAAAGTACAGGCTCTCGAGAAAGCAGTTGAGTAACAAAGAGGATTTGGTTGTTAATTTCATATCCGAATGGAATTCAATGCTTGGATACGAGATTTGCCAGAACCTAATCAAATCAATGCCAAAAGGGTTGAAAAGGTTATTCAAAATAAAGGAGGACCCATAGATTATTAAATATTTCGAACTATATTACCTATTATAAATAAATTATACCTCTATTATTCTTTATTTAAAGCTGCTCGGTTATGTTTCTATTGATTACTAGTTGCAGGAAATAAGTGAGTCACTTTTTTTTTGCATAGAGTTTTTCCATAAATCTCATTTATATCCAAAATTATGATTATCAATGGAATACCTTAGGGTGAGTAAACTTTTTTACTATGTGGTCAGGAAGGGGTCTTTATGCAAGATTAAAAATTAGTTTGACCTCAAAAACAATAGGCGAAAAGATTTTTAAGTAAAAAAATCAGGTGAGTCACTTTTATCGAACAGCAATGTACATTCCAAAGGATAAGTAGAGTATTAAGAAACAAGAAAAAATCGTTAGACACAAAGAAAAAGATTACTGAACTGTTACGTGAAAAAGTCTCTTATATGCCAGTGAATGCTGGACAATATCCTTACAGATGAAATGGAGCTTGAAGCAGCAAAAATGTCGTTCTACAGAAGGATGCACCGAACATGTGTGCACCGACTAAGCTCTAGCGAAAATAGAAACAAAAAGGAAACTTATACTTACACATCAGTAAGTGACAATTGAAATTTCTCGAGCATATAATGAAGAAAGAAGGCTTGGGAAATATGGTACTCACAGGACAGATTCAAGACAAGAAGGACACAGGAAAACAACGCATAACATACTTAGTGAGTTTGTGTAAATAGATGGCAAAACAGGGTCTAGGGAGAAATATCAGAAAGACAAAATTTAAGAGCTACAAGAGACTGAAAAGTTGTGGTGAGCCATGATCGCCTATCTCCTAAGGGAAGACATGAAATAAAGAATATATATATATATATATATATATATATATATATGTATATATGCTGTGGATTCCGTGAATGGAATCCTGCAGAAATAAATAAACAACGCCAGTAATTGAGATAGAAAAATAAGTGTATTAAACGTAAGAATACAGACTTGAAGTGAAGATTAGTAGTCCAGGAATGCGGGTTAGTAGAAAGTATATGTACAAGTCTCTGTAAGTAAAGCCGTAATCATCTCTCTCTCTCTGGACTCTTGTATAACTCTCTGAGAATACCCTGTGTCTGTCTCCGTATCTCTCAACCTGTCTCAACATATCTCCACCTATCTCAACGTATCTCAGTATTTAATATCCCACCCACGAGGAATATATGTGGCACAAGGCCGAGTTTAAAGTGGGTTTCTCCGAGCCCGTAGGTTCGGCCAAAAAATATACCCTTTGAACCGGCCTAGACGGGTTCAGGCCCTGTCTACCTCCCCGGACGAAACCTTGCCCTTCGGCAAAGCATCGTCCGGGTTCCTTTCTGACAAAGCAGAGAGTTCGACAGACGTCGAGATTCTATCTCAACGTATCTCAACCGCAGGTATTCTCTCTGTCAATATAAGTATACTTTGGACGAGTCCATCTTATGTAAAAAGTGGAGAGCCCCACCGCAATATATATATATATATGTGTGTGTGTGTGTGCGTGTGCGTGTGTGTCAGAGAGAGAGAGAAAGAAAGAAAGAGAGAGAGAAAGAGAAAGAGAGAGAGTGAGTGAGTGAGAGAGAGAGAGAGAAAGAAAGAAAGAGAGTGATAACGACATATATTTTTGGGAAAAATGTATGCCAAAGTGGAAAAAGTTTTCCTGTGACGTGTTTCGTCCTTTAAGACTTCCTCAGACCAAATTGGTTATGTTGGTGCGGCTACATTGTGCATGAACAAGGGATGATGGGAATTTAAAATTAAAAATTTGATTTATTTATTTTTATCTAGCCGATTTCATTTCGATTCCTTTTCTTTTTCTTTTCATCATTTTGCTATTAGATATCCCACACTCTGATAATATATGTTCTACCAGGAATGGTGAAATGTTGTAAGAGCCAGGATGCAAATCTATTAAGATTCCTTGAGGTTTCTCTTATGTATTTTTTGTGGCAATTATTACAAGCGATCGAGTAAATCCTTCCTCCAAGTTTTAGCCTATTGTCTTTTTTTTTTGTTTTAGATATAGCCGTAACAAATTTTGTGAATATTTTTCTTCAAATGAGGCATTTAAAAGGGAATTATATAAAATATAAACCAGTGGTTTTTGTTTTTAATTATTTTTAATAAAATAAATTGTAAATTATTAAATTATTTTTTATGAAAATATTTTAGAATTTCGTTTTACACTGTTAAAAAAATAAATTACTTTACGATCTACTTTATTAAAAATGGCTTGTAAAATTTCATGCCTCCAAAACGAAACTGCTCTCATTTACCCACCATACAGAAACCTCCCTGTCCCCTATCAGCAAGGCCGACGCAATATTCCACGAGAGCGTCTCCTTGCGCCTTTTTGGTCACGCTTTACACTGTCCTGAGGTTGGAACAACTACATTGAATCAATAGCTTCATCTACCGCAAGGAAAGTAGTTTTT